AGAAGAAACCAGCTGCTTTCCTCCAGGAACAAAATCTGCTCTAATGTGCAAGGTCAGTAAGGGGAGATCCGGAACCAGGCCCTTCCTTGAGTGCCTCAGCGTGGATCAGCCTCACTCTGTCCAGAGTTCAAATCTTGGCTCCACCATCCCTGTATTCATTCCTGTGTGAATTTACGACTGCACGGATTCCCTGACCTTTCAGAGCTGCATTTACTCATCTGTGAAGTGAGGGCCAAGGGCAGTTCTTGGTGTTAGGAATCAGAATCCCTGGCCCATTCCCACGGCACAGGTACGCCTGTATCTGCAAGGCTCCACGACACCCCAAGAGCCACCGTGGTCATCTGTGTACCCCGCCGTCCAGGGGCAGCATCGCTGAATCGGCGGCGCGGAGGTTCCCTAAGCCCTTCCACCGCTGCGCCGAGGGCAGAGCGCTGCGCTTGACTGAGCCTGGGTGACCCGCCCAGCTCAACCCCTTCGGTGCTGGGCTGCAGGCCAGGAGCCTTGGAGCGCACTTGCGGGATGAGCGGGAGACGCCGCCTGGGAGTGCGGTGGCTCCGCCCCTCCGGGCGCTCCCCGCCCCGCTTGCGCCCCTGAGCCACGGGATCGCCGGGCACAAAGCGGAGGCCGCGCGCCATGGCCAGGGTCCCGCAGGCCCGGCGCCGCCCCGCGGCCCCTGGGAGCGCCCTGCGCGCCGTACTGCGCTGCAACCTGCCCCCTGGCGCCCAGCGCGTGGTGGTCTTCGCTGTGCTGGCACTCCTCGTCTTCATCAACGTCGTGCTGGTCTTCCTGCTGGCCTTCCGCTGACCGCCCAGCCAGGCGCTGCGGGCTCCTCCCGGTGAGTGGCGCAACCGTTGTGCACCTCCACGCCGCGGGTCTCCTTCCAGTCCCGCCCAGCCGGTGTCCGCCCGCTCCCTATGCAGTGACTGGCGGCCAGGCCTGGCCCAGCGCGCCCCATACCGACGCCGCCCTGGAGAGGCCTCCCCTTCACGCCTGGGGATGCAGTCGTGCGGAGACTCGGGGGCGTCATGACACATGTGCTAGCGGGTCCTTCCGTGTGTCATCTGAATTGCGCGTGTGTGTGTGTGTGTGTGTGTGTGTGTGTGTGTGTGTGTGTGTGTGTGTGTAAAATGGCGCATCTCTGTGGGTGACTGGAGATGGCTGATGCAGCTGTGGCCTTGCCTCTGCGGTTGTCTGGAAACTATTCATGTGACCACTGTGTGAGCCGAACTGGACATGCATTTCTGCGTGGGTTTGAGAGATCTGTGTGGAAGATGAGCAGGCTCCTCAGCAAATTACCTGCTTTTCCCATTTTATGTCTTAAGATAAGTGGTCTCAGTTAGCTGCCCCCACTTACGGGAAGAGCCCACCTTGCAGGTGGCACCCTGAACAGCCTCCAGCCCTGGCTGCGGCCTGGGGATCTCAGTTCCCAGATTGTCCATTGGAATTCTCCACCAGCTCTCACCTATGAGAGATGAGGTGGAGCAGGGTGGGAAGGGTGGTCAGGGGGGGCACTTCCAGGCAGAGCTTGTTTCCCCAGGCCTGTCAAAATCTCAGGGGCACAGGAGGGGTTGCTGCACCCTGCCCCTGCTTTTGTCTTAGTCTTGAACTTCCTCTTCCCCTACAGCAGTCTCCCACCTGCCCCCACATAAACACCCCATACCTCAGAGCCAGCTTCTACTCCCCATTGCCAGGCCAAGAGTGAACCATCACCCTTGCCCCTTGGCCTGTGTGGAGCGAGTCTTGGCTTCCATGCCGCTGCACCTTGGACGGAGTGTCCTTGAATGGCCCCTGCCTAGAAACCCACCCAAGCGTGCGCCCTGGCAGCGTCTGCACTGTCCTGAAGGTAGAATGTGTCTGTGACCCACGGAGCTGCATTGTCCTGGTGATATCACATAAACAGTTAAAGTCATTGCTGTAACTCATCAGAGTGCCTCCCATCTGTGGATCTACACGAGAGTTTTGTGACCTAGTTGGAGCACATTGTTACTGTGAGCATCGATGAGGACCAAGGCATAGGGACATCAGGGGAGTTTTTCATGGCTTTGTGTCTATCAAGTGCCTCTTGCACTGGCAAAGTGCTAGGACAAGGAAGTGACAAAGGCAACCAACCCCTGCCCCAACCACTACTACCACCAATGGCTTCCAGGTGACTAGGCAGGACAGCTATGGGAGTCTGTCCATAAAGGTGTAAGGAACCTTAGTCTCTTTGGGAAGCCCTACCTCTGTCCCACACCTCTTACTCGCAGCTATATGGGAAACTACCTGTGTAGAATCTCTGCAAGGGCTGGCAGGATAAAGCAGGGGGAGGAGGCACTGGTCCTTACAAGAGGGGCTTAAGCTCAGGGTTCGTTTGAGGGAAATTGGGATGGGGGAGATGCCTATCCCAGTTGATAGCAGGTGGGAACAACCTGGGAAGGGAAACGGTGCACAGCTGGGCTGTTGGCGTGTGTAAGCATTTTTCCTCCTGCCTGGGCTCCAGCAATGAGGGCAGTCTCCATGCCGTCCTAGAGACCTGTGTGTGCAGCTGGTGTGAACTGAGGGTGGACACAATCCACAACCTGGTCTCAGGAGGTCAAAGTGTAGCATCTAGTAGAGAGCTGGATGTGTGCTGACGGGTGCATGTCAGGGCTGTGCAGGAGGGAGGGAGTCTTAGAACACCCAATGTTTCAGGATCAAAACTACAAAATTTAAACATGAAGTTTTGTTCTCTGCTGGAGCCAAACCTCAGGTTACACAAGAAGCTCCAAGAGTGAATTTTTCCACTGTCTCGGTAACTCATCACTCAAAACATACGTCTTCCTGATGCACACACATACTCACCTGAGGTCACATGTGCCCCCTGTCCTGATCCTCACACTCACTCATGGCCACACATGCCCTGTGTCCTGATGCTGATGTCACTTGTGCTCATACACTCCCTCTGTTCTGAAGCTCACATGCACCCATAGTCACTGCCCCTGAATGGGGACATCCACCTGCTGCATTCTTGTTGGCTTACCCAGACCACCTTTGAGTCCTCTGCTTCTTTCTTGTCTTCAAGCCAGAAACCCGAGGCCTGGTGTGCTGGCCTGCTTGTGTGCAGTGTGCACCGAGGCTGCCCTACTGGTGCCTGCTCCCTACATGCAGCAGCCTGGCTCCTCTTATGCCGCCTCACTGAATCCTTTTGTCTTACCCTGTCCATACTGCAGTCAGGATCTCATGATCCTGGGGTCAGGCCTTTCTGCAGAAGAGGACATGCCTGTAGTTGGTCTTTTTAGCTGGGTGAGTCCAGTGGCCCATTGAGGAGACTTGTAGCCTTGAAATAGCCCAGTGCTCTGTGCACAGGGTCTCTGGGTGGACCTCAGGACTGGGCAGCTCCTGAGCTATGCTGCATATGAGAATAGATGTACACACCAGTTTGTGGATTATTCTGAAAAGTGGTTTCAACAGGGTTTGGAGCAGATTTTACCCCCAGAAAACAGAAGAACTGGTAGTTTCTGAACGGACTTGCTCAGGCCGTCTGGGGGAAAGGCCCAGTCTGAGTAGGCTCCTGTGTTTAGGTGGCCCACCCACCGCTCACCCTGCCCATTCAGGGCACAGTGGACACCTGTTAGACAGTGAGTGGAATTCACTCAGGTGGAGACCCAACCAGTCTTGCTAGGCCCTGCTTGTGCCCAGTTTCGATGTGAGGGTGAGCATGCACGCTGTTTGGGAGACCCAGGGAAGGCCCCACTGGGCCTAATGCCAAGGGGGGACTCACCCCAGTGGGGAGCAGGACAAGCAGCTCAGTGCAGAGGGCCTGTCTGGTGATGCCTGAGGCCTTGACTGCTTAGTCACAGAGCCAGCCCATGGCTGTGACAATCAGAGCCATACTTGGTCCCAGAAGAGAGGGGCATGGACCTCACCTCCTGTGTAGTCCTCAGCCTACCCCTCCATCTTGCCCTAAACCCCCAAAGTCATTCATCATTCGAGGAGGAGAAACAGCCCACATTCTAGGAAAGCAGGTGTCAGCCCAGTGGTAAGTGGAGCTGGGTGTGTGAGGACTGCCTGGGATGGTGTGGTCTCTCTGCCTCTCAGGAATGTGATGTGAAGTGCACAGCCATGCAGGATGATGGATCCATGCCAGTTATTTCAGCAGTGAGCAGTTAATGTAAAGGTTTTCATCCAGGTATAAAGTGGTTGACTTGGTAGCCAAGTGCACAAGAGCAGTCCTGAGGTATCTATTACTAAAGTGGCAGCTGTGAGATGTACCAACCTCCCCTAGAGCTAGGGAATAAAAGAAGGGGGGTTGGAATAATTAGAACTGAGAATGCTGTGGGGTTGGGCCCTAGAACTCTGAGGAGGGGTGTTGCCCAGTTGGTGCTGATTGTGGGGAGGTGGGATGCTGTGAGTCTGGTTCTGCAAGTATTCAAAAAACAATGCACATTGGATCCAGCTACTGCCGTGTCTGGGCACCTCTGTATCTGGGTGAAACAGCATTGTTGCTTGTCAGGTGACCACAAAGGTACTGCAAGTCCACAAGAAGCCAGCAGAAAGCAAGGAGCCAGTCCCTTCTCTCCCAGCTTTGTGGTCCCCTCTAATGCCACATGAGAATCTACCAGGGAGCCCCTGGCACAGCACAAATGCAGCTTGCAGTGCCTTAGTCTCAGTATCCCAGAGCAGAACAGAGACGATGGGTGGAGCTGAGAGGCAATAGTTTAATTACTGGCCCGATGGGGATGGGAGTGAGCAACATGATTGACCCTCAGATTCTGTGGCTCACCAAAATCCTAATGGTCAAGTTCAGTTCAGGCTTCATCATGAGCCCTGCCAGTCTAAACATGACCAGGGCATAGCCCTGCCTCCCGAAAAGCAGTTGGCTCTGAGAAAGCCTCTGTCTGCTCCTCTGTGACATGAGTTAGGATTTTCTCTTCCCAGGGCTGCTGAGGGGTGGGAGGCAGAGGGCAGCAGCACTCTACCCCATTAGGAGGTCCATGGCAGCCTTACTGCATTGACCTGCTTGTCCATCGCTCTCTCCACAGCTCATCAGCGATGGCAGTGTGGTCTGTGCTGAAGCACTCTGGGACCACATCACCATGGATGACCAGGAATTGGTCTTCAAAGCTGGGGATGTCATCGAAGTAATGGATGCCACCAACAGAGAGTGGTGGTGGGGCCATGTCGCTGATGGTGAGAGCTGGTTTCCAGCCAGCTTCGTGCAGGTATGGCACCGGCCTGAGTTTCCCCCAAGCCTGTAAACAGCCAATTGGTTCTGCTCAGAAACGCAAGCCTGAGACTGCTCTGGGGCCCGAGGTGCTGGGCGTGGACTTCCCACTTGCAGCTGCAGGGACTACAGGCTACTAGCTGGGTGGGTGGATGTCAGGAAGGCCAGCCCAGGGAGCAGTGATATCCTTCCTCCTCCTTCAGAGCCACCAACTCTGACCCCTGCTCCCATCGCTTCCTCCAGGGGGCCCTCAGTAGTCAGAGAGGTGCGGGTCAGAAATGAAGGTATGTGGATCCCCAGGGGTAACCTGCATGTCCGAATACCACTAACAACTCGGTTTACAAGGCGTTTACTAAGCGCCGTGCAGGACATTCACCTGGGTCCTCTCAGTTGCAACTTTCATAGCAGCCCTGGGAGCTGGGAACCTCACACCTGAGGAAACTGAGCCAAGGACAAATTAAGTCCTTACATAGCCCAAGAGATCACAGGGAGGGGACCCAGCTCCTACCTAAGGGGGACTTTGGTATCCAAGGAAGAGTTCTGGCTCAGACCACATGGCCAGGCAGAGGGCAGTTCAGTGGGTGGGAGGGGCAGGCCCTGGGGTTCAGTTTGTTGCTTCTCCTGTCCACACTCCCTGGATAAACTGCCGGCTCCGCACCCGAAGCCTTTCCTAGTTATGGGTCAGAGAGCCAGCAAGGCGACATCACCACCCACTTTCCTCAGGGCCCCTAGAGAGCCCAGTAGAGCAGGCGCGGGTTCAGAAACGGGAGTGAGTATCCGCTCTGTTCCAAGCGCTGTGCCTAGCATAAGCAGTGTAAGCAGAGGAGGAGGTTCAGGGCATCCTCCTCGGAGGGGGTTGTAAGTCTCAAGTGAAACTGACAGCAGCAGCGGGCATCGAACCTGTTGTCCCTCTGTCCAGATGAGCATTGTTCAGGGGTGGGGGGTGGGCAGCTTCAGGGCCTGCCCAGGATCCTGTGCGCCTTTTGGGCTCTCTAAGCCCCAATTCCTCGCTGCTGCCGCAAAGATTCAGGCGCTGACCCGCCATGTCGTCTGCAGCTGCGGGTGAACCAGGATAAGCCCTCGGACGAGGCCGGGGATGGCAGGGCCGAGGACTTTGGGGCCGAGGACTTTGGGGCCGAGGCACAGAGCAGCAGGGACCAGATGCGTACCAATGTCATCAACGAGATCCTCAGCACCGAAAGGGACTATATCAAACACCTGCGCGACATCTGCGAGGTGAGGCCGGCAGTGCGGTAGAGGTTGGGGCGGGTCCAGAGAGGACCTGACTGCCCCGCCCCTGTCCCCAGGGCTACATCAGGCAGTGTCGCAAGCGCGCCGACATGTTCAACGAGGAGCAGCTGCGCACCATCTTCGGGAACATCGAGGACATCTACCGGTGCCAGAAGGCCTTCGTGAAGGCCCTGGAGCGGAAGTTCAACAGGGAGCGACCCCACCTAAGCGAGCTGGGCGCCTGCTTCCTGGAGCACGTGAGTCTGCCCACCAGGGACCTGCTCCCGCCCCCACCCCTCCCGCCATCCACCTCTAATGGGGGTTCCTCCGCCCCTACGACCCACTACTGCCCCCAGGCCCCAGCCCAGTAGTTGGCTAGAAGTCGCCCTGCAGGCTAACGGCCTGGTAACCTGCTACTCTTTTCCTAGACGCTTCTAGGTCCTACCCCCTCACACTTCAACACTGTTTTAGAAGTGTCTCTGCTTCTGTGGGGGATAAAGCAAGTCAGAGGCGGCTACTTGGAGCAGGGGGCCTGGGCTCAGCCCCAGAAGGATTTCCTTGGGCCAGAGTAGAGGGAATAGGTAGGTTGGGATGCCTGTTGAGCTCCCTAGCAGCTGTTTGTTCATAGCTGATTCGGGGGTTCCTCACACAGTGAACAAGCTGAAATTTATGTGTAATTGACAGTGTGCACTTCCACTCCAGATGCTGGCTGGCATTTAGCCAAGGTTACCGGCCTGGTCTGGGTTAGAGGGACTCTTCCTGGCTTGGCCAGACAGGGAAGGCACATTTCATCCTTCTCCTGTGGCAGTTGTGGGGTTCCATCAGAGACAATGTGGGCTCCTTCCTGGCTACTGCCAGTGGGGGCTGGGAGGGCTCTGCCACCTGTCTCCAGTGGCAGGAGGAGAACTGGGAAGGGAGACCTTGGTCTGTCCACGCACAGGAATGGATGGTGGGTCTGGGCACCTGAGTGAGTATGGGGTTGGGGTCCAGTTATTCAGCAGGCAGAGCTGTGACTGAGGGAACAACAGGAACAGACACTTGATGGACATCGCCTAGTATGACCATCACAGCAAGCCACCACCAGCCAACAGCTGTTACTGCTCACCTAAGTCCATGATATAATAAGTCACTAAATGGCAGACCTGGTAGATACAGCTTAAAAGAAGAAAAAGGCCAGAACTTTGTGAGGAAGAAGCAGGACACTGGGCCAAGGATGAAAACCCAGAAGCACAGCCATGGCCCCTGGCATCAATTTATTTTCTCTCTCTCCTCTCCCTCTCCCTCTTCCTCTCTCCCTCCCTCCCATTTTTGGCCTTGATAGCCTGTCTTTATTAGAATTATTGATTTCATCCAAAAAATATATTTTGACTGATACAGTTAAAATACTTGCCGAGGGCCCTGCCGAGGAAGCTGGTGGTGACAGGGGTATACATATGGCCAGAGTTTTCAGAGGTCTTTTACATCCCTGGGCGTGATTCCCATAGCTTGTGCCTGAGCAGTAGGTAGAGGGTTGAGCCCAGCTCCCTCCTTCTGTACACAGGCAGGATTGCCTGGGGGGAGGAGACAGCCATCCTAACCTCCAGCTGTGCCCCCACCCCCCACCCCAGCAAGCCAACTTCCAGATCTATTCGGAGTATTGCAACAACCACCCCAATGCCTGTGTGGAGCTCTCGAGGCTCAGCAAGCTCAGCAAGTACCTGTACTTCTTTGAGGCCTGCCGGCTGCTGCAGAAGATGATTGACATCTCCCTGGACGGATTCCTGCTGACGCCTGTGCAGAAGATCTGCAAGTACCCTCTGCAGCTGGCCGAGCTGCTCAAGTACACTCACCCCCAACACAGGTAGGCGGCACAGCAGAGACTGGGGCCGCAGCCTGAGGCTCCTCACACCTGGAGTCAGCCCGTTTGTTGAGTGCTCCTAGTGTGCTGGGCACTGCTGTAGGCCCTGGGGTGACAGCAGAGTAAAACCATCCCTGCTCTTGAGAGCTATCGGTGGGCTGAGGGAAGAGGACATAAAGGATATACGTTCTGCTCTGTACAACCTTTATGGAGAATATGGTGGTGTGCATTGACAGACCAAGGGCACAGCCCCAGAGAGCAGCAGGTTGGGGGGGGGGGGGGGGAAGGCGGGGCTCCAGGAGGCTCCCAGCCCTTCTCCTCTCTCCATGTCACAGCCCTTCTCCATCTCTGTTCTGCCCCAGGGATTTCAGGGATGTGAAAGCTGCCTTACATGCCATGAAGAATGTGGCCCGGCTTATCAACGAACGGAAACGGAGACTTGAAAACATTGACAAGATTGCTCAGTGGCAGAGCTCCATCGAGGACTGGGAGGTGAGAGAGCCCAACACCCCAGCAAATACCATGGGGCTTGGCCACTAGCTTTAAAATCATACTTGCTCCTGAAAACTCTAGGAGAGAGCTGGGACTGTGCTCCTGGAGCTAGCAACAGGAGTTGGTGTTAGAAAACCTGGTTCTCTGCCTGGGTGACCCACCTGAGCACAGAGTCCAGGCCCATAGTGCCTTCGTGCCACCTCCCAGAACAGGCCTGGTGGCCTCCTTCCTAGTGAAGTGAGGGGAGGAGGGATTTTTTTTGGGGGGGGTGTCACCCTGTTACACAGCCACAGAGGGAAGTCCCATGCTGTTCCCAAAGTGTAGCCAGCCAGCCCAGCAAGAGAAACTGTTCCTCTGCCCTCAAGGGACAGGCCACATCTGAAAAAATGATCACCACTAATCAGAGCTTCTTGGTTACGTTTTCCTTGCTTGCGCAGTCCCCTAGTACCCACCAATCTTGTCTTATCAGGCAACATGGAGGCCTGAATGGTGACATTCCTGTCCTCCAGAGGCATCCCTGTCCTGTTCTCTCCACCCCCACCACCAGCCATAAAATGTTATAAAAATACACCTTCCAGGGCCTCACCCTAGAAATATGGAATTACCGTATTTGCCGGCGTATAAGACGACTCGGCGTATAAGACGACCCCCTAACATTTCCACTCAAAATACACAGTTTGTTATATGGTCGGTTGTGTGCGATTTTGCGAGTGTGGTAAAATCGCATAACAGCAAAATCGCATAACAGCCGAGCATACACCCAGCAGCGCTGCTGATGCCTGAACGGTATGTGGAATGAAGTGGGCGGGCATCGGGAGGCCACTATGGCACGGGGCAAGCACTATGGGCAGTCTATCTGAAGTGTGCCTGGCGTATAAGACGACCCCCCACTTGGAGGCATATTTTTCAGGGCCAAAAAATCGTCTTATACGCCGGCAAATACGGTAGACTCCCTGTGGGTTTTGTTTTGTTTTTTTGTCTTCCTGGAGATTGGTTCTGAGGCCCAGCCCTGTCCCAAACTAAAAGTCTGCCAACAACTCCTTGTGGTTTGCATTTTCCAGGAGGAGCCCCAAGGGGACAGGCCTTAGCCTAAAAGTGTGAAGTCTGAGGCTGGGACTTCAGGTACTGAACACATTTAGCTGGGACCAAGGTGTTCTTCTAAAGGAAACCCCTATAAGACCAACCTCAGAGATGACCTCCAGCTAGGTCTAATTATTGTCTTGGACAGCACCATCCAATTGAATTATCATGTGAGCCACATGGGGAATTTTACATGTTAAAGAAAAAAAATTAAACAGGTGAAACTAACTTTGATGTTTTATTTAACTTATATCCAAAATATCATTTCAACATGTAATTAACGTGTCATTAGTGAACTATTTCGCATTCTTTGTCTCATACTGTCTTCAGAATCAGTGTGTATTTTACTTACATGGCATCTCAATAGGGATTAGCCACATTTCACATGCTCACGCCACTGGCTGCCGTGGAGCCCATTTTGCAGAGCCAGCCAACTTACAGGTCAAACCACCTTTCTACTCCCCACCTCACTGCCCCCTCCACTTCCTTGGCTTTCATGAGCAGCCCTCTATGGCCTGCTGCTTGCAGCAAACCCTGGTGGGACCGCAGGCAGGCAGGACCAGTGGCAAACACCCCCCTCCAACAATGCAGGCAGGGCACAGAGCCCAACAAGGGGTTTCCTCTCAGCTCCAGGTGAGGCACTCAGCTCATGGCTTTCCTTGGGATGCTCCAGGGGGAAGATCTCCTTGTCAGGAGCTCAGAACTCATCTACTCAGGGGAGCTGACTCGTGTTACACAGCCACAAGCCAAGACCCAGCAGAGGATGTTTTTTCTCTTTGACCACCAGCTCATCTACTGTAAAAAGGTACCAGAGTCACTTCCCTACTGGACAGACTGTTTAGAGCAGGAATGGAGAAGTGAAACTGAGGGCTGGGAGCAGCTGCCTAGAAAAAACATCCCTTTCCCAGGAGCCCCAAGTACAGATGGCCCTTCCTGTTCAGGCCCTGAGGGCCAGAATGAAGGTGGCTTTCTGTAGAGAGCCTAGTAGCCCAGGGCCCAGCTGACCAGGTCCAGTGCTGCTGAGAACACCCGCCTTACTGACTGAGCCTGCCTGTTTCTCTATACCTCAGCTTCCGCTCCCCACACCTGGGGTCCTCTGCCCCAGCAGCCTCCCTGCTTCCTCTGTGCTGCGAGCTTCTTTTTCCAAAATGGCCCAATGGCCCTGTCCAGAAGCCCTCCTGATCACTGGCTCCAGGCCTGGTCCTGGTGTACCTGGCACTCTTCTCTGCTGTGCACCTGGCCCTGGCCCACTGACTGTTTCCATGGCCACCTCCCCATGAAACTGCAGGTGCCTTCAAGACCCCCAGGCCAGCCAGTGACTTAGCTGGAGGAGCAAGGCTCCTCATCCTAGGTCAGGCAGTTGGGGTCCACACCAGGCTCCCTCTGCCCTTGTGAGCTCATCATCTGATGGGGAGGTAGGTGCAACAGAGAGTGAGGTAGGGCCTTGGGCATGTCAGGAGGGCGGACCGGAGGCCAGGGAGGGGCCTGACTAACAGGCTGGCTGGCAGCTCCCGGTGTCTGTGGCAGGACCTTCTCCGCCGGGACGTGCTGTACTACAAGGGCCGAGTGGACATGGATGGCCTGGAGGTCCTGGACCTAGAGGACAGAAAGGACAGAGACCTCCATGTGAGCATCAGGAACGCCTTTCGGCTGCACCATGGCACCACGGGGGAGAGCCATCTGCTGTGTGCCCGGAAGCCCGAGCAGAAGCAGCACTGGCTCAAGGCCTTCGCCAGGGAGAGGGAGCAGGTGCAGCTGGACCATGAGACAGGTGCGCGACCCCTCAGCTCTGCTTTGCCCTGCTCTGAGGGCCCACAAGGCCTGCTCGCCCCCGAATACAAGGGGGTCAGGAAAATCAGACTGGGACAGCATGTCACATTGCGTAGTGCCTTGGGTTTGGCAAGTCTCCAGAGCACCTCTTGGGTGCAGGCCCAGGGCAAGGGTCTGCTGGCCATACAAGTGCATGCACTCAGAGCGGTGGGCCAGCCCTCTGTTCAGCTGCAGGGATGTGGGAGAGCCCCTTTACAGCACAAACCCTGGGAGAACACTGGAGCAGGAAGTGGGGCTGGCCTCCAGAAGCCTGTTCTACCCCCACATGAGCAGGGCACCCCCGATTGCATCCCCTCCTGTCTGTGTTTGGTCTCAAGAGGCCCTGGGCCTCCACTCAGCAGTGACCAGGCTGGCTCCTGGCCTGGGAAATAGCCTCCACCACAGTGGGGAGAGGGGACACAGGCACTGGACATGTCGGGGATCAGATGACAAATGAGGGAGGGCAAGGGAGCATGCTGGGAGGGCCCCCAACCTGGGCACCAGAGCCTCTGCCTGGCTGGCTGAGCAACAGTCCCTATAGCTGGATGGGCCCCAAGCTCCGTGGAAGGTACAGGGTACAGGAGACTGCACCAGTGCCAGGAAGCACAGGACAAGAGGCCCCTGGGCCGGGGAGGAGGGGGAAGTGGAAAGGCATCCAAATCATCACAGGGAAGCCAGGGTCCCATTTGCGCCCTTCCCTCCAGGCTTCTCCATTACTGAGCTGCAGAGAAAGCAGGCCATGCTGAATGCCAGCAAGCAGCAGGCAGCTTGGAAGCCCAAAGGTAAGAGGTGGTGGTCCCATGTCCACCCACCGCAGCCTGGCCCAAGCCACCACTGAACCCTTCTCTGACCCGCAAAGCCAAGTCGGCTAACAGCTGGGTCCTCAATGACCCACTGCCCTTTGCAGGAGTTTGTTCCCAAAGGTTGTTGGTAAGGGGCTGCCGGTGATGAAACTTGTGTCAGTCTGCAGTTGACATTCTTTCTTTCAATCCCCTCACACCCTTCAGAGCAGCACCATTAGTCTTACTTCTCCAGGCAGGCCTCTCACAACTACCTAGAAGGCGCTCACACCCCATTCCTACAGAGATATGGCCAAGCCTTGCACAGGGTCTGTGCTTTGGAGAAATGTCAGGGCCCGTCTTCCCAGGCCCCTGGGTGTGGTCAGCCCCATAGGAAGCTAGCTCCCTACTATGGGGTCTGAGACAGGGCCTTGGGACAGGGCCCATGCCACCCCCCAGAGCAGAGGATGCCACTGTGCCCTGTGTCACCGGCTCCCTAAGCACCTCCATAACCCCGGCTCTTTTTTCTTAACCAGCCCTTGGCCGGCCCTACTACCTTATGCGTCAGAAGCACCCAGTACTGCCTGCCAGCCTGCCCCAGCAACAGGTCTTGGTGCTGGCAGAGCCCAAGCGGAAGACATCCACTTTCTGGCACAGCATTAGCCAGCTGGCACCCTTCCACAAGTGAACCTACACCCCCCAACAGCACGTCTGGACCTGTGCTGCCAGCATGCCTCCAGTTTCCCTCACCAAGGCCCACCCACAGCATCCGGTCCTTCTCTGCCTGTCCTGCAAACTGGAGATGAGCAGGGCTGAGTAAGGGAGGGGCTCGCTGGCAGCAGTACATGCCAGGTTTTGCAGCTCTACTCTTGGTTCTGCCCCACTACCAGTGCACTAAAGACACCGAATGGACAGGTGGGAAGCCCCACAGCACAGGAACCTTCCGCCACTATCTCTGGACCTTTGCGGGGCCTCCTGGGAGCCACAGCTCAGAACCACCAGCCAGGCAAATGTACGTGAGAAAACTGGCCACTTTGGACCCTCTTCTTTGGACATCATCCCTCCTCCTCCTCTGTGCAGAAGGCCGACTGCTTTCCACCACTTGGAAAGCTGGGCTGTGTGCCCCTCTACTCTCCAATTCTCCTTGCAGGCCCCCCAACTGATAGTGGCAGCTGGCATACCTGGAGGGTGGGAACCAGGAATTCTGTGCACAACGTCTGGTCCCAGAGGACCCCATCTTACCTACTGGTCCCTCTCTAGGTTCTCCTGGCTGTTGGACACCTCACTTGTGATGTGTTTACCGTGGAAAGAAAGAATGTAGTCAGCTGCATGTTTCCATCAGGGTTTGTGACCAGTCTACATGTAGCTGTGTTGATTCCAGAACCTGATTCTGGTTTTTTGTTCAGATTTTGTTTTTCTAACAATGGAGAAAAGAATTGTTAGTGATACAGGAAGACTGCCTTACCCTAAATGGGCATGAGAAGCCATAAGGACTGAGTTCTGGCCCAATACCCAGGACTGACCCACAAGGTTAGTGGGCATGTGGGCTAGAGGGAAGCCCACACCCGCAGGGAGGGGGCGCCTAAGAGAGCGGCCCAGGCCTCACTTGTGGGTATGGAGCAGAGCCTCCCCTCTGGCCCATGGGAATTCAGCAGCATGTAGTGACTCTTGCACTATACCTTCTCTAAGCCAGAAACTACATTTAATTTCATAAAGAAACATGAAAAATAAGCTGGTGACCAGCCCGTTTTCTGTTGGTGTCTGCATTGTCTTCTCTCTATGCCCACCCTTCCATGTCCCCTATCTGTCTCTGCACCAGGCCTTCCCTTACCCTGGAGGACTGAGCCCAGCAGTGCCCAGAGGTGGGGTGAGGGCTCACCTAGTTGAGACCATGCCTCAGGGCTTTGGTGGAGAGGCTAAGGTGGCCAGGCTAAGTGCCTCTGAGAGGCTCAAGGCAGCTGGGAGGACAGCATGGGGCCTGGGATCCGTCCAGGTGTGGATTACAGCTGGCTCAGATCCTCCCTCCCCCTTGGGCCTGGAAGCCCACAACCTCCCCGACAGCTCCCAGTCTGTTGAACTGAAGTTAGCAAATGTGAGTTTGGGGAGACAGGCAATCCATAACCTTTCTGGGTCTCAGCATCTTCCTTAGTGAAAGGGGAAGAAAGTGTCTTTCCAGGAGTACCTGGGCCATAGGACCAGGAGAAACGAAATGAGGGTGGCTTCCCTCCCCTTCCCACCTGGGAAACAGTCCCCACAACCTGCTGCCTCCACACACCTTTACACACTGCCAAGGTCAAAAGTGCATGGCTTAAGTTGGGAAGCAGCTGAGCACAAGGGCCTATGCCCAAAACCCCTGGAGTTCTCAACTTGAGAGAAGTTAAACCACCTCCCAGCCAGGCAAACCATCTTGAGACCAAACAAAACCTACAAGGAAAAATCATGACAACCACAATATGCAACACAAGTCAATCTTTATTGAAAACTGCAGTATTAATACATAACTCTTGTTACAATAAACGTGCTTTTAAGAATTTTAAATCTGAGCTCATCTACTCATCAGATTGCATAAAAAATTAAAATAGTATGAATTTATACATAATGGGCCTGGCTCAGGATGGATGTTCCATTCCTTTGTATTGACTGACACCTAAGTTCAATGCAGAGGTGAGGGATGCCTTTAATACTGGAAGACAATGCCGACTTCAGCTTAAAAATGTACTAAGAGAACAATCTAAAAAAACACTATTTAAAAATCATAAAAATTTTTTTTCAAAGGAACCATTTCCTAGTCAGTCACAACCCATGTGGCTCCTTGGGGTCTCTCCTTCGAGTGACTGTCAGAGCAACCCTGAAGGGTGCACAGCAGTGCTGGCCTCAGACCCAGTCCGATTATATATTAGTCTGCACAAGGACTCCAGGAGACTCCAACAGGGCTCAGGAGAGCGAGACGAGCCACCAGTTCTCTCCAACCTGCAGCACAATCCTGGAGCACACCATGTCCTACAGCCCATTTGGGTTCCCTGGATAGAGATGACCACCTCTCCTCTGTCCCTGTCCCAAGTGAGTTGACTTTAGTCGTGGAACTCATATAAAGTGACCCCCACAGATTTTCTGTTCTTTAAGTGAATGGGGTGGGGAAAGAGACAAATCCTCTGAAACATGTAAGATCAATTTTGCAACTTTCTACCCAAAAAGATCAGACCCTCCTTTGCAGCATGTTATCTGCAGTCTATTCAAGTCTGTTAAACCTTCAGAAAGCTCAGGATGAGTAATTAACAGCTCAGGGTAACACGGAAACACACACACACGGACACACACACACACACACACACACACACACACACACACACACACACACACACACACACACACGTGATATGCTAGAGAAGAGAGCTAAGCAGTCTGACCTCCTAAGCCAACCAGAATCCTCTTTACAGATACTCCCTCACACACACTTAGAAAGCACCAGAGAAGAGCCAGAAGTTGCCTCCCACCTCAAAACCTGCCCTTGTTCCCCCTGGAGGGTGTCAGACAAGCATTCTGTCCTGTCTGGCAATGCCCAAGTTGGCAATGACTGGGGTGTCCAGCCATTAGCTGCCAGATGGAGAAGGTGGCTGAGCTGGTCAGAGTAATACTGTTTCCAAATGTTTCCAAAGGACAGGAGAAGTCTGGATTTCCTTTGTAAAGTAGGCTGGTGCTGGTGCATGCCATCCTTGTACCACCACTGGCAGGCACATTCACAGAAGCCCATATGACCACTGCCACTTATGACCATATCCAAAGTGCCTGAAGAATATATTTCCCCTCATTATGGAGGGGATGATGCCACCAGACAGAGCCAGGCACTATCTGTCCAGCTTGGGAAGGGCAGGTGCTTCATGACCAGGCACCCAGCCCAAGCCTCAGGGCCACCTTTAATCTCCTGTAAATACTACATCTGCATTGTACTCAAGAAACAAACTAACAGAATAGCAACTGATAGGCCCAGTAACCACGGCCAACAAGAACGTTCTGAAGAGATTAACACGGGAGATATCGAAAAGGTTCTAGAAGTGCCTCCATGCCTGTGACCACGAGTGGCCCTGGCCCTGATGGTGGCCTCCCTTCTCAGAGGCAGCAAGTTGATGGGACCATTGCTCGCTCACCACTAAACAGTCATCCAGCCCAAGTCCAAACAAGATTTCCATAAGCAGAGAAATGGACCTCCTTAATAAACCTTAGGGGAAAGGCTATAAAACAAAAAATGTAAATATCCATGATGATGTCCATGTTTAACAGAATTATGTCCTTTGCTTGCCTGTCTCAACTTCTAAAAGAACTATAATTCAGCTGAAAGATTCTCAAATTAGGAATGCTATATACAATAAAAGCAAAATTTCTCTACATGTTCTACTGTTGTGCTTGGGGCATCAAATTATTCAACTTTATAACAGGACTTCTATTCTTTAATTTTACTGGTAGCAATTTAAAATGTTCTAAAATGACAAACTACAATAGTTTTACTATTCCTTTGTCCAGATTCTTACATGCAGACAAGATCTACCTTTCACCATATCTGATAGCTGGTGCCCCAATAATTTCAAAATTGAAAAGATGTATTCCATAACAAGAAAATATTTGATAGTGTCCCAACTCAACCAGACAAAAAGGAAAAGAGGCTTTCTAAAAATTATGGGGGGTGGGGTGGGGGAGTATTAATGAAGCTGATATAAATGGGGGAAATGCAACCCACTCTTCTCTTTCTCTTGAAACCATTTAATTCAGTGCTTGTGAAAACACTCACCCCGAGTGTGCCAGTCTCAAGCAAGCCTGAAGAAACAGCCTATATACCTTTTTACAGCTTCTTTCAACTAAATTCAAATGACTCTACCCTTTATAGGTAGTCGTGTGCGTGTGTGCGTGTGTGTTCTCATTTTGTTGTTTGGGGCTTTTTTAAAGCATACACTAAAATCCTATTCTCTCCTATCTACAATAGTACGCTAAACTGGGGTACCTGATTTCTCCATTGCTTGCTCAGTTCAGCCCCTGGAGCCCTTAGAACCTATTGATATTATAAACCATCCACTATCCAGATGGAATCACCAACACAGAGTTTAAGAAGCGGACACAAACTGTGTACCTGGGGTAGATGGCTGCTACTGTGTGCGCGCGTGCACACACACACACAGGTTAAGTGCTCATGAGGCAATTTAAAGTACTTATCAGTTAAACACATCATGTTAACAGACATTAGTGATAAGGAAACTTTTCTTTACAATGATCCATGCAAAAATATTACTAAACTTCTTATAAAATAAAATGTGAAAAAAAATTATAAAGAGTACTTACTATAAAAAATAAGGTTACCGAAGGCTGAGAGGTCAGGTGTCCCATTCACCAACCACCATTGGATGCCAAACCAGAGCTAAAGCCCTGACGTAGATGCCAGGGACGTAAGAAGAGCAGGGTCCACTCCGCAGCCAAAGCATACAGCACTTGAAATGATGGGGTGGGACAGGCACACATACCCCACCCTGCCTGACAGGCTGCTGAGAGGGAACACACCCTCTCCTCCTAACCCCTGACCCTATCTGAGAATAGACTCACTTCCATCAATACAAATGGGGCACATTTGGGCCGGCTGAGTGGCTCAGTTGGTTAAGAGCTCGCTCAAGAGTTTGAGCTCTGAGCAACAGCGATTCGAGTCCAGCCCGAGCTGAGCAGCCGCTGAGCTGCCAATAGGTAGCAGGATGGCTCAGCTTAAAAAACAAACAAAAAAACAAACAAACAAATGGGGCACATTTAGCCCCCCCCACCAAAAAAAAATAAAAAAATCCTGGGTTTCTTATGTACAATATTCATATTTTAAACACAAAATCCTTTCCAAAACAAATCTTCCTGGCAAGCGAATGCACTCTGATGCCGCCTGGCACTTTCCTGTCCGTACCTGCTTTGTGCCGAGTGCCCTCAGCTGCACGAAGAGATGACACAAGAGGTCACAGACGACGGGCATCAGCCCTGCCCGCGCACCTCCCATACCCATCTCTAGACGGTCTCAGAGCATGAGTCCTCATCAAGTGGACAGGCTCCATACAACTGTGGCCCTACCTCTCTACAACAGTCAGGTTCAAATACAGTTGTGTTCCCTTTTAATAGTTCTTAAATATACATCTTTCTTCAGAACAGAGCTGAAATGTTTGCCCTTCTTCGTGGGGGGAGAACAGCAATGCCTACCTATGTTTTCAGCTGACTCACTCATTTCTCAAGAAAGTAAAAAGAGGAATTATTTGCTAACCTAAATCAAGGAGAGGCCAAAATCTCCTCCAAGTGTGGCTGTTTCTCTTTCACGTATTTTCCATCCCAAGAAAATTTACCTCTACACAGCGCTTTCCCAATAAAGACAAAGAAAATAGCATCTTCCATCAGGAAGAGATTTGTAATGAAAATTTGGCAACCCAGAGGAAATTGCTTTGCTGATAGACAAACCGCCACTTGCCCCTAAATGTGCTGGCCACACAACTCTAATCTTCCATAATCTTTTCAAATGTCCACATCACACTGACCCACAAGCCTACATGGAAAGACAGGGATGCCCATTAACCTGGCAGCGCCCACAGCAGTTGTGGCCCTCCCTAAACTCTCCCCATCCCTGCAACTCTCTCCCAGTACGATTAGTGCGAAAGAAACAGATGGCTAAAAACTAAAATTCCATGTCTGTAACTGGCAACCCACATCAATCACAAAAGGCTGAACAATCACCTATGAGATTCATACGCTTTAAGAAGAAATTCACTTTAACACATACAACTTTAAGACTGCATACATCACAACACTGTGTTAGTGGACAAGCTGCAAATACTTTCCATTCCTTTGGGCTTTGCATATGGTGGTTTTGTATCAGTCACTGCAGGTAGTAGTTTGAGCAAGCTTTGTTTTTGTGGTTTTTTTAAACATGCATTCAACTAGATATAATTTCAGAATACATTAATACTCCCTCCTTATCATTACAGTTAGCTAAAAAATTGCCAGGCAGCCCCAAAACAGGATTTGCTTTAAGACCAACCCACAGAGTTAGTTGGAGACGGATGGTGCAGGGACCTGCTAGGCAGGACCACAGTGGTGTTTAGCTAAGTGTAGAGAGCATTAAGGAGAAAGTCCTGGTTGGAGGCACGAGGCCCGCAGCACCAGCTGTGGAATATCCAGGATGTGACTGCACAGCTCCATCCTCAGCCTGGTGGGAAAAGACAGACACACAGTCACACAAAACTCCTCTAGCACTGCTGCTCTGAAAGGGAGGCATTCCACTTAAGGAGGAAATCCACAAGAACCAGAAAGGTCAGCAGAAGGAAAGGCCACTGTTCCTGGTTCCCTCGGACCTCACAAAGACACCCAGTTTTGACTGCAGTGCTATTTCCTGCAGGAGGCAGGTGCAAGGAATAAATCCAGTGCACACAGTAAGTACTCGGTGGTTTCCTTCTTTCTTCTGCTTTGCACAGTCCCAATATAAACAAAAATTTAAACATCACATTGCCCTTGGATCAAGAGTCAGGCAGCAATTTTCTAATCTGTGCTTAAATTGTGGTAAACTTGCCATTCTCCACTGAAAAAAATGTACTTTAGTCAAGAGCGGACCCAGGTTTCACCAGTCACTTACATTTGCAGGTGATCACCACTGAGGGGGCACGTAGCTGTAGGTGGGTGTTCCTGGAGCCCGATAAGTGGGCACAGTGACTGGGTGGGGGGCAACAGGAGTTGGGGAGTGGGCGGTCAGCAGGGTACCTGGAAGAAAGAGCAGCATGTCTCAGTGGAGGCAGCATCGCCCACACACGGGGTGACTGCACACCACTGTATAGCTCCATGCTGACTCTGACAAGGAGGAAGGTACATGGGAGAGGGAATGGGCCTCAATCGAGTGCTATCAGAACTCTGAGTATGGAGCAACTCAAAGCTGTATAGACACAGGATGCTCATATTGATAATATATTTGTATAAACCTTGTGCCTCCCCTTCATATAAGCATACTCAATTATTTTTGCAGATTAGATGATAAACAGATTAGATAAACAGATTAGAGAACAAAAAATAATTTTTAAAAGTATTCATTCATCCTTTCAAAAGAAGGAAATGTGTCACATGCTACTACACAACATGTATGCACATTGAGGGCATTATGCTAGGTGAAAAAAAGCCAGTTACAAAAAGACAAATACTGTAGGATTCCACTTATATGAGGTCCCTAGAGTAATCAGATTGATAGAAACAGAAAGCAGATAGTGGTTGCCAGGGGCTGGGGGGCAGGGGAAAAGGAAAGTTGTAGTTTAATGGGTACGGTGCTTCAGTTTTGCAAGATGAAAACGTTCTGGAAATCTGTTTTACAACAGTGTGAATAAAGTTAACACTACTGAACTGTACACTTAAAAGTGGTTAATATGACAATAAATACATGGAAGAAAGGGATGGAGGGAGACTTCAAACTACTTAAGCTTCGGCGTACATTAAGATAAACATATTTTCCCCTATAATTAAAGAAGTCAGTGACTATTTGAGTACATTTATAGACAAGCACTACCTCAAACAGACCATACTCATCTTGCATCCTTCACGCTCCTGTCTCCCTGCCCACACACACTGTCGGCCCCTCCTTCCACATGCCCCAACCATATAGAAGTTTCTGTCTATGCTACAATCTCTTTTGCCTTCAAAAGGAAGTATGGAAAAACCAAATAAAATAGAGACTGAGAAGAAAGAAACACACAGGGTATGCTGAAAAACCTTTCTCTATAGAACAATTTCCTTACATTGCAGTCAAGTCTAGAAAAACAAAGAGAAAACTATTTTTCTTAAAAAGTCCAAGCCATGGGCAACCAAGTGCATCATGTGTACCTGGCCCCGTGCCACAGACAACTTGCATGCCCCTAGGAGGGAACCTAATCCCTGGACATGATATTGAGCCCCCAGATATGCCAGGATTCTGTGGAGATATGCCCATCCTAGCCAGGGAGCCTCTCTCAGCGGTTCACTTTCCTGACCTAGGGAAGTCTTGGGAAATAAAGTCGATGAATGCCAAAGGATTTCTACAAGCAGCTGTGATCGCTATTAACAGAGACCAGCTTTCCTAGATTCACGCAAACATCCCATTCAGAAAACGTGGCCTGCGAAGGCGGCCCATACTAAAGGGAAGGACCAAGAGGGCCAGCTCCAAGAACACAAAGTTCCCCATTCCACTCAAGCTTTACGTGCTCAATGGAGGGATATGGTCAAACCTCGTTTCTACTGCCAAACAGTTCAGCTCACCAAAGTGGCTCCATCAAATTCAGAAATTGTTATCCAGTCATGCTCTACCGGGAGGGTACTTAGTTCATGGTTTGTTACTCTAAACCCCACCCTCTCGTCTCCTCTCAACTAAAAGAAGGGGAGGGAAAGAAGGGGAAGAAAAAGATAATATGCTGTTCCTTCCCCCCAAAAATCACATGTCCTTCCACATACTTTAGACATGAAAAATCAATACCAAAGGTCAGTGTATTAGTCAGCTCTCCCTTCCCAGCTCTCATGCCATCATAGAACAGGTATCCCAGGATCAACTCACCTGCTGACATGGCCATAGTGGTCCCAGCCACCATGCCCATGGTGACCCCACTGCCTCTCGGTGGAGGGATGGGAGCAGGATACACCGTCGCCGGCATGCCATTGGGCTGCACCACCGTGGTGTGGTGGATGACGTGGGGGGGTGCTGCATACAGGGGCTGTGTATAGTACGTGCCTTGCTATGAGGAAGAAGAGAGACAACTGCAACAGGGTCCCATACCCAGTGGGTAAGAACCAAGATGGAATCAACCCTTCCCACATATACAGTGTCCAAGAACACCATTAAGAGCCCCACAGTGCATCCCAGGCCTACCTGTGCATATGGGCTCTGCTGGGGGTAGGCACTTCGCACGGGGTACACAGCAGTCTGATAGGGGTTGGGAGAGGAGGAGTACGGAGGTACCGTTCCACTGGTGGGCGAACAGGACACTTTGTAAGGTGTGCCAGGGGTGTAACCTGAAACAAAGAAGCCCAATGGTCTTAGCACAAACCTGCACTTGGCCAGACCCAGGGGAGGAACCAAGTGTGCAATGAAGACTGAAGCAGTTTTCCAGCCCTGAATGCAGTCAAGATCTGACACCACTGTGGCCCCACCCATCCACAAAGATCTAACTTTATTTCTTAGACTTGATGTGCAAGGATGTGTGTGTAGGGTAAGGGACATTTGAGAACAAGGGGGGGAAAAGCAAAGGAAAAGTTCTGAGAGTACACTCACATAGTAACAGTAAAAAAATACCCATACTGTTGGAATATAACTTGGTATGGCCTTCCTGGGGCACATTTTGGCACTAAAAGTATGTATGTCTTTTTTTTTTTTTTTAAATTCTTTCTATGTATGCCTCTTAATCCCACAATTCCACTTCTAGAAATTTGTTTTAAAGAAATAAGCATGGCAGTGACATCAGCTTCATGGCAGCATGAGACTCCTCCCTTTCTCTCTCCCTTTCAACCTACAACAAGTAAAACATCCGTGACCCAATAAAGGCTCCTTGTCCAACATACCAGGACACTGAAGAGAACCACAGATCTGTACAGGTGAAGATGGGTGAATCGGAATACAAAGAGGTGGAACTGGGCGAACAGCAGGGGTGGGGCCCACGACTCTGGTCCCTCCAGCCAGCAGCACCCACAACTCTGGCCACCCCTCAGAGGCAACATACCTGACTTTAGCCACCCAGCCACTGTGTGCCCACACCCAAGCTCCCTCCTCTCCACCCTCTGTCCCACCATGGCAGCAGTACCCAAGACCTAAGTGACTCTGGACATGGTGGAAGCACCCGCCATCCTGGTGATCCTGGGGGGTGACCCTAGGGCCACCAGCAGCAGCAAGACTCCAGTGATCCCCGAGTCACAAACAACAAGGTCACCAGTGTCACCTCTGGTGGAGGGGGAAAGTGTTGGTTCTCAAATATTGCCAGAGATAGCTCAGGTAAGAGAAACCAAAAATGTGCTATATATAGCACCACCTACTAGAAAACAAAAGAAAGGCCTCTAATTACCAATCTCTTGAACTCTCAGAATCAAAGTAAACAACAAGCTGTATCAAAATAAGAAATATATTCGCTATTTCAAATGCACAGGCAAGGAACAGCTCATCAAACCCTATGAAAAAACGTGGTAACATGGCAGCACAAAAAGAAAATGGTAATTATCCAAAACCACATTTAAAGTCACAGGAGATTATGATCTGATAGAGAATTCAAAATAGCCTTCATGAAGAAACTCAACAAGCTACAAGAAAACTGAGAAAGGAAGTTCAATGAGCTCAGGAAGGAGTAGAAGGAATACTTTAGCAAAGAATCAAACAGAAATTCTGGAGCTGAAGAACTCAATAAATGAGATGAAGATGCATTGGAAACAGAGCAGCAGATATACGAGAGAATTCATGAGCTCGAAGACAGAAATCTCAAAATCGTTCAGGCAGATGAGCAGAGAGAACTAAGAATTTTTAAAAATGAAGAAACTCAAAAAGAGCTATCCACTTCCATTAGAAAAGGTCACATAAAGATAACGGGTATTGTAAAAGGAGAAGAGAGGGAGAAGGGAGCAGAGCTTATTGAGAGAAATGATAGATGAGAACTTTCCAAAATTGGGTAGGAACTGGATAGATTGGGTTGTTGGAAAAGTCATGACGTATTTTGCCTATGTTTTTCAAAGGTCATTTATTTATATAAAGAACAAAGATCAATCAGTGATATATTGCCCATTTTGTTCGATAACCTTTTGCCATCTTTCAGTGAGCTTCATAATTCCTCGTTCATAGAAGGACCTATCTCTTTTTGCGAAAAACTGAACAAGGTGCTGATTTACAGCCTCATCTGAATTGAAAGTTATACCTCGCAAGGAGTTTTGAAGAAAGCAAGGCAAGCGGAAGTCTGATGGTGCAAGGTCAGGCGAGTATGGCTGGGTGTGGCAGCACATCCCATCCAAGCTCCAATAATTTTTGACACGTGATCAAACTTGTGTGTGGTCTCACACTGTCGCGATTGAACACATCTTCTTTACAATTAACAAGCTCTGGATGTTTCTGAATGATGGATTCGTTCAAACTGTCCAACTGCCGACAGTACACATTCGAATTGATTGTTCGGTTCCTTGGTAGAAGCTCAAAAAACATGACACTTTTAAAATTCCACCACACTGAGAGCATAACGTTCCGCTGATGAATGTTTCCGCTTTCGATGTCGTTTGAGGCAAATCATCACGTCAGCACAAGACCGTTTGTGCACCACATTGTTGTAAACAATCCATTTTCATCACTTTTATCAGTCGCTTCAAGAAAGGATCGTTTTCCACACGTTTAATGAGCATATTGCAGATGTTTATATGCACCGTCAAATGAACTTCTTTGAGTTCATGTGGAACCCAAATATCGAGCTTGCTTATGTATCCCAGCTTTTTCAGGTGGTCGTGGACATTTGAATGATGGATGTGCAATGTTTCTGCAATCTCTCGGGTCGTGTAATGTGGGTTTGACTTGATCAATGCCTTTATTTAGGTGTCATCAACCTCAATGAGCCTCCCTGGTGGAGAAGCGTCGCTGAGATCAAAATCACCAGCACAGAATTTCGTGAAACATTGCTGGTACTGATGTTCTTGTAGAGCATTGTCACCGTAAACTTTATGCAATTTCACCAACTTGACGCGCGTTCTTCCCTTTATGGAAGTAAAACAGTAAAATATGGTGGAAATGCACACTTTGGTCTTCCATCTTCAACTTGTAAAATCTCCAAAACTCAACCAAATCGCTCAATTTTTTTTAAGAATGAAGCTAGAACCTCAGCTGTCAAATGACATAGCAATAACATAGATGCAAATGACTATACTTCCAAAAATGAACTAGTGCCATCTGTCACAAACATGCATCATGATTTTTCTGACAATCCAATACAAGTCCATGAAACTAAAAGAAAACCTAATTATCTCAACACAAAAGGACTTCTCCAAGACACATTAAAATTGTCAAAAGTCAATGATTTTTTTTTAAATAGTCAATGATAAAGAATTTTAAAGGCAACCAGGAAATAAAAGCCAGTAACCTATTAAGGTACCCCATCAGGCTATTGGCTGATTTCTCCCCACAAACCCTATAGGCCAGGAGAATGAAAGGACACTCAAAATACTGAAAGATAAAAACTGTCTGCCAGGAATACTCTATTCAGCAAAGTTATACTTCAGATATGAAGGAGGAATAAAGGCTTTCCCAGATAAACAAAAAATGAGGGAGTTCAACACCACTGGACCTGCCTTGCAAGAAACGCTGCAAGGGAGGAGGCTCTTCTACCTGAAACAGTAGGCAAAAGTACACAAAACTTTGAGTAAGGTGACAGAATCAAAAATTTGGAACTCTAGATCAGACTAGGTTAGACAATTATAGCATAAAGGTTAAAGGGGAAAAAAAGTATTAAAAATAACTACAGCTATTTCAATTTTGTAACAAAGCCACAATATAAAACAGGATAATTTGTGACAATAACATAAAAGGGGAGGAGGAAAAGGACAGAAACCAATAGAGGCAAATAAAGATAAGATAGTATCAGCAAAAAAGGACTATTTTAGCTATGAGACGTATTATATAAACTGCATGGTAACCACAAAACAAAAATCTAGAGAAAAGACATGAAATTAAAAATCAACAAAAACAAAAACAAAACAGAAAAACATCTTGGAAAACCACGAAACTAAAATGGTAGGCAGAAACACAAGGAAAAACAATGGAGATACAGAGCAACCAAAAAATATAAAATAGCAGTACTAAATCCTTATAAATCTATAATCATCCTAAATGTATTGGGTTGTCAGAAAAGTCATGACATATTTTTTCTGTTTTTCGTTGCAAAAATGCGTCATGACTTTTCCGACAACCCAATAAATGGATTGAACTCACCAATCAAAAGAAAATAGTGGCTGGATGGATTTAAAAAACATAACCCAACTACATGCTGCCTTTAGGATTCATGTTAGATCTAAAGACAAACATTCTCAAAGTGAAAGGGTACGCATGATAATACATACTCCAATCAAATGATAGCCAGAGAAATTAGGTGTACGAGGTGTGATCAAATACAGTGACTGTTTAAATTGAAAAAAAAAAAAAAGTATTACAGTAAAAGACACATTGCCATTAATCCCCCTCAAAATGCACCCCTCACTTTGAACACACTTATCCCACCATTCTTGCCACTTTCTGAAGCAATTCTGAAACTCCTCTTTCTTCAGTGTCTTTAGCTGCACTGTCATGGCTCCCTCGACGTCCTGAATCGATTCAAAACGATTACCTTTCATGGTCATTTTGACTTTGGGGAAGAGCCACATGGTGCCAGATCCAGTGAATAAGGTAGATGATGACAAACCACAATGTTTTTATTTGATAGACATTACTGTACCAGAAGCAATTGTGACACAGAGCCTTCCCACTGTGATCAATAAACATGGTGAATGCTGCTGCCATCCAACAGAAAGGCAGGGATCATCAATATGGGAAATGGTGCGTTGAACCTTAGTAACAGTGTGCAGTCAATTGGGTGTGAGCTACGGTTGAGAGAAGGTGTGTTTTAAAGTGTGCTGTAAATCATCCTCCATCATGACAATGCTCCGTGTCACACATTCCTTCTGGTAAGGCAATTTCTGTCAAATAAAAACATTACGGTGCATCCTCACCCATCTTATTCACCAGATCTGGCACTGTGCGATTTCTGGCTCTTCCCCAATGATTCAGGACAGCCACGAGAGCACCACTAAAGACACTCTCGAAAGAGGACTTGCAGAACTGCTTCAGAAAGTGGCAAGAATGGTGGGAGAAGTGTGTTCGAACCAAGGAGTATTTTGAGGGGGATTAATGGCAATGTGTCTTTTACTGTAATAAATTTTATTTAAAATTCATCATATTTGTTGATCACACCTTGTAGTTACCAATGTTACCTCAATTAAAAAAAAAAAAGAAAGCAGGTATAGCA